CGCGGCCCCGCCCCCCGCGGCCCGCCCCTCCCCTGTGCTCTGAAAGCCCAGTTTTCTCGCAGGAAGGTTCGCAGTCGCGACTGCCGGCGGGAAAGCCTCCGCCGTGACGCCAATGGGGCCCTCCGCTTTTCCGCTCCCAAGTCGCAGGGGCGGGAAGAAGAGAGGGGCCCCGGCAGCCACGAGGGACGCCCCCTGGAGGGCCTAGGCTGAGGCAGGCTGATGACTTCTGAGAGTCGCTGAGGTCAGAAGCAGCTCCGGGTCGAGCTCTGCGGAGGACTTGAGAATGAGCCCGGGGACAGGGGCTGCAGTGCTCTGAGTCTGGACGACGCGTTTCAGGCGCCTTGGACTCGGTGCTTGGGTGGGCTCACGATAAACGCTGGAAAGAGCTTGAGGTGAGCAAACCCACCTCAGTCCGTCAGTCTCGGTGAGAGTAAGCGCTCACACCCACTCTCCTAAGCCTGTGCCGGGGGTCTGCCGAGGTGGGGAGGCTCGGTGCTCGCGGCTGTGAAATGATGTCGTGTGTTTGCACAGGTGGCAGAATACTTTGGGGAATGAATGGCTGCAGAACAGTGGTGCCGGTCGGGTGAAGCCCCAGGGAGGGAGGGTAGAGAAAACGTCCTTTATGAAGGCTGTACCGCCCTTCCGGAACATTGTGAAGAGCGAATGGAGCGCACTGTCATTTCTTCCAGAGGGCGAGATGAGACACAGGGAGCTCCATCTCTAAAGAAATTCCTGAAGATGCCATCTGGCAAAATCCTTCCCCCAGTCAGAAGTTTTTGAGAGACCAAGTATGTGTTCGACGTTGCATCCTGTTCTCTAAAGATGCAATTTGCTTATCAACTGACTGCTTGAAATTAGCCAATCCCATAATAATATGAGATCAGGGCCTGGTGGCGGTGCACACCTTTATTTCAGCACTCCGGAGGCAGAGGCAGCCTGGCCTCTGTGAGTTTCCGGCCGGCCTGGTATACAAACTGAGTCTAGGACAGTCAGGGCTCTGTTACACAGAGAAACCCTGTCTCAAAACAAAACAAAACTAAAAGAATATATATATATATATATATACATATTCTCATATATATATGAGGCCCGGTCTCTGACCTCTCAGAGTAAGACACAAGACTATTTTAGTGAGGAATAAGAACCCAGTAGCGTAACCACTTGACACCATTTTGCAGAAGTAAAACTTTTGCCTTGCACCATTTTCTCCTGACTCCCAAACCTGTTTCTAACAACAAGAATGTTTGGGCATATGTGCAACTCAGCAAGGGCATATGTTGAGACTTTCTGGGGTAATGTTTAAGGAGGCTAAAAATTGTGTTTTTATTCTTACGGCTCTCTGTAAATTGGGGTGCTGTGTCAGAGTGTCTAATCCTGACCTGTCTGCATGGCATATCCACTCAGAGGCAGTAAATACCAATTTAATCATAAGGTTCATGGTGATGTTAGTGTTATCTTTAAAGGGAGAAATGGGAAAGAGCTCTGGAAACAGCAGACTCTGCTTGTGGGTCGTTACAAGAACGTTTGGAGTGGAAGGCCAGGTTTTGGGTCGTTGGACCAATGCTTGCCAAAGGGTAGACCATCCATTGGTCAGCAGGGGTGGTCTTCCTCTAGTGTCCCACTCCCTCTTTGACACTTACCCCATTCTCTTATACAGTGTATCTTTTTAGATGTACTGGGGAGCATGAGTTCTGGTCCCCAGGCCCGGAATGGAAATTCACTCATTAAGCCCCAGCAGTGTTTCGGCTCCTTGTCACCTTCGTGTACACAAACTTACTCCATATTCCAGGCCGAGGCACCACTGGCCTGATGCAGGTGCACTTCAGAAGAATTGTGGCCCTGAGCAACTCCTGACAGTTGTGGTGCCGGTGTCATAAACATGTGGAACCATCACTTGGACGCCATGCACGGTTTCTTAGGGTTTTGGTTTGGGTTTTGTTTTGTTTTGTTTTTTCACATTTAGGCCTATTTTATTCTCAGCTTACAAATTTTTTCAAAAGCAAGTAGATCTGTCTAATAGCAAAATCAGGAGAAATGCTGTAAGTATTTGAGTTTGGCTCTAATTCTAAAGTCCAGCTGCCTTCACTATCCTGACTCCCGTATTCTTGAGCAGGAGGGAGGAAGGAAAGCGAATTGGAAGAATCTGTATTTGTGAATGGAAAGGCTAGGTTCTTCTGTATTCTGAAGGAAGCTGGAAGCTGGGTGCCTACAACGAGCTGTAGACGCGGAGAGGAGAGAGGGGGATGTGGAGTCCTGTTTCTTCCTCGGGCCGGCAGGTTGAACAGGTAACACGCATCTAGCCACAGAGGCCTCGGTGCAGTCGCTTGCCAATCTTGAGTGCAGGACTGGCCCCTCAATGGTGGACTCCCCCAGAGCGGAGATAGGGTGAGAACTCCAAGAAGGCTGTCTTCAAAACACTCCTTATACCAAGAATGACCTTGAATTTGTGCTTCGCCTGCTTCAAGCCCCCAGGGCTTGTATTATAGGCCTGTACCTCCCCAGTTGTTTACGTGTCTTGTTTGTTTGTTTGTTTGTTTGATGAAACATGTATTTATTTATTTGGTGTGGGCATGTGTGCCTTGGCACTTGTGTGGAGGTCAGAGGACAGCTTTTCTAAGTTGGCTCATTGCTTGTACCTTTCCCCACTAAACCATGCTGCTGACCCCACACCTCATTTTTAGTGTGTGCTGTGGATCAAACTCAAATCTTCCTTTGTGCTAGGCCAGCCCTGTGCCAACCGCACTGAGGCCCAGCCAGTGCCTAACCTTAGCCTTGATGTTTTTAGATCATCATGGTCTATTCATAAGCACCTCGCTCTTTCCACAGAAAGCATCATTTGGAATTACTTTTTTTTTCATACAGCTCCAATAATTATTCAAGAATTTGGTTGTTTTTCAAAAGTAAACATGGAACTTGATGAATGAAATCACTGCTCTTCAGAGTTTGTTGGTTTGGTTCGGGTTAGCCACAATTGTTTTTATTTTTTTAACTTTTTATTGACTTTTTTGTGAATTTCACATCATGCACTCCAACCCCACTCATCTCCCCATTCGTTTGTGTCTGCCTTCTGCTCTTGCAACCTCCCCATCAAATAAGACAGAATTACAGAAAATAAAGTTATGTCCTGAAAGCTGCATGTGTCACACAGTGTACTCTTTTGTCTGCACATCTTTGCTTACAAATGGTCATTGCAGTGAGTCACTGGTCTGGCTCCAGGCCTCTGGTTTCTGCTACACTGGACCCTCACTGGGGCTCCTCTCACTTCCTGTTGTTGGCCAGTGTCGTAGAGATCCTGCAGCTTTGGATCTGCAGGACTGGCCATTTCACAGGCTCCAGAAGATCATAGATGGGTTGATGTTGGGGTGAGCCAACATAAAGCCCTGGACCTGGTGGTGGCAACGTTGGTCAGCCCACCAGCTCTCCTGAGCCTGCACCACATGGTAAATCTCCAGCACCTCTGCAGCCAGCTCACTGAATGCTGGCACTGGCACGGGGCAGGTCCAGCTTAACACAGTGCCTCATGTGCCAGCCCAGACCCAGGACATCTGCCTCTCCTTCGACGGGAACACGGGCCTGAGACACTAACACAGACCCAGACGTGCTCTCCTCCCCCCGCAGCAGCCTGGGCATGGATGTCCCCGTGGCCTCAGGTGGGTGGCAGCGCAGGCCACTCAGACATTGATGTGGTCTCTGGTGGCAGCCCAGACCACAGACGTCTTCTTGGCCTTTGTGGTAACTCAGGCCACAAACATTGACACAGACCCCAGCTGCTGCAGGGTGATGGACCCAGATACAGCCCTTGGCAGCCTGGCCAGGATCTCACCATGGCCTCCTCATGTCTGCCTGTTCCTCCCCACCATCTAGTGTCCAGTTCCGCCTTTCTCCACAGTGTACAAACCCCTCAGCTTCACTTTCTCTTCCATCTCTCTACCATATACTCCATCTTTCCTATTTCTCCATCACATAGTTCTTCACTGTAGTACCTGCAGCAGGTGCTTGGGTGTCTTCTTCCAGCCTCTAAGGGCTGGCTAGCCAGGGGGGAGGCAACTGTTCTTATTTTCAATAAGTTTTATAAAACCATATCTTTAAGCCATAGACAATATTAACACTAACTTAAACAATAAGATCTAATTATAACAGAAAATCAGAAGTTGGGATTAGAGTTCAATAGTAGCCTTCCTCACCAGCAAGTGTAAAGCCATGGGTTCTATCCCTAGCACCTCCAAAAAGAGGAAATATCAACAAGAACAGAGTTCAAGTCCCTGCAACCACGTGGTGGCTGAGAAAAATGTGTAATGAGATCTGGTGCCCTCTTGTGGTGTTCAGGTGTACATGCAGGCAGAACAG